TTAATGAAGAGTGGAAATTTCCCAAAAACGTTTTCGGAAATTGAAATTCTGATATCAAACCATACCAAACTAAACCTACCATCCTTCATTCCGTCTCATTAATATCATTTTCTCGAAAAACAAATTGTAATGAGTGACTATCATCATTATTGTTCTTTTTTTCTTTTCACAAATTTATTAGGAATTGTTGAAATAAAATGGTCGATTAACTTCAATACTGAACATTAATCATAGAATGGTCAATTCTTAATTAATAAAGGCTAATAGATAATTTCATCTAATCAACTCATTAATCATGTCATATTTGGGATGATAAGAAAAAACCAAAACTTGTATGTCAATCCAACCAAAAAAGATGCACTTTCAATATATATAACATTACAAATCACAAACATTTATCAATTTTACATGCTACTTGTTTCTTTACTTCCACAATCTTCCAAATTTCTAAATCCAAGATGAAAAATTTGTACAATTTCATATTCATTTGGAAAAGTTTTCAACTCTATAAATATGAGCTCTTAATCAAGCTGAAATAAAAAACCGAAGAAGCAAAAAAGACCAAATTGTCAAGCTCAAACTGACTTAGACATTAACATATCCTTAGACTGATATCATGTATGTGGGAATTAATTTTGACCATTCATTCCTAAAGAAATAATAAAATAATATGTTAAATAAAAAATCAATTAGATATGACATTCCTTTAGTTTTAAGTTTCAAATATAACAATTTATTATCCAAAATATTTTCTCTAAATTTAATTTAACTTTCTAAATAAAATAACTTGTAAATTATGTTTAATGTCTTAAAGCAAAATTATAATAATACTCATGCCATAGAGTGAGTTATGAGATGTCACGTCTTTTTAATTCTAAAACTTAAAAGATATATATTGTTAGACAATTTCTCTAAAATTTTTTAAATAAAGCGTATCCTTTCTATATTTGCCATAAGTTTCTCCATTTTAACAAGAGTTGTGTTATGATAAAAGATATCAATATGTGATATAATTACTTTAATGATCTTAAAGTAAAACGTAGAAATTATTTGAATATTAAACTCTAATTAATATTTTAGAGTTCAAAAGTTAGAAACTATATATTCGTAAATTTGATTAGGGCAGAACTCCAGAAATTATCCAAAGTCTTAGAAATTCTATTAACCACGCTCAGACATTCTCTCTTCTCATCTCTTTCACCTCACTGTTTCTCTCTCCCAAGTTTTCATTATCTCTTTTAAATCAAAAGAAATACAAATTATTTATTAATACCATCATGGAAAAAATATTGATCTTTTTATAACATATTCTATAATTCTATAATCTTTAGACTTGTTTTTCTTTTCTTTTCTTTTTTACCTTCATTAAAGAATGTTTGCGTTTTGTATTATTGAACAATGATAAAAAAATATTAATAATAGATCAATTTAATACATTAAAAATATTTTTTCTAAAAATGATTTTAGTCACTATAATTATATTATAAGTTTATAGCATTAAGGATCAACGGTAGTATAAAATTTTCAAAGTTTTTCTTTTCAATTTTATATTTCTAAGATAAATTTTAAGTAAAAAAAAAAAACTTAGTTAATCATAAACTTACATATTATTATAAAAAATAGTGGTTTAATATTTTTTAGTCTAAATATTTATTTGAATTATTCAATATATTCTTTTAATTTTTTGTCTCATTGTGATTTTTACTTTTATTAAAAATTTTAATTAGATTCACATTCACGAAATGATAATTTGATATATTCATATGTTATATGTGACAAATATAATAAGAAAAATCAGAGAGAATAAATCTATGACAACCTCAAAACAAAAACATAGGTAGAGATACCAAAACAAACATCTCCCAAAACCGATTTCCTCAACCATAACAACTATATCATTAATTAGATTCACCTCACTCAATGATTACACTGACCATACAATATTTACCTAAGTTGTACTATTTATCTCTTTGTCATTAGTCATTAAAAGAAGACTACATTAAGACAAAAAAAAAATGATAAACTACATTAAATAATTTTAACAAATATTAGAAAAAAAACGTATAAGATAATCCACTTGGCATTATACACACTTATATAGATGTTCTGGGGCCCATTTAAGGAACCCATGATGACTTAGGAACAGTGTTAATTGGATGATGGACCACAAGGCCCAAATTAATTTTGGATGTACCAACTTCTCTTCCTTCCAAATCAAATCCTCCAATACCAACATTTCTTTTGTCACCTTCAAAAGGAGACAAATGAGCATGTTCACAGGAGTTTATGCAACACACATGTTCAAAGAATCAATTCCATATATTATTATCATTATTATATATAAATAAAAACTCTCATAATTATGCCAGAGACCATTTTATCACTACTTCAATTTTTATACCAAATTATATTTTAGAATAATCAATTTAACTTGACAAATTTAATACTTAATTTTGTTTCCTTTATACATTTAAACTCAAAATGAAATTTTAATATATTAAAAACTGAAATTTAAGACTTACCTTTACAAAACTGAAATTTCAACAAACTCTTATGTCGAGGTTACGTATCTCAATGTCTTCTATGTCATATTTGTATATCATTAACAATTTAATATTACTTAAATATAAAAATAGATATTTTCATTTAATATTTATGAATGATAAATTAATTATATTTATAATTTATGTACACTGATTTAAAAAGTGTTAAATATATTAAATTGTTAAATCTTTTAAATAGATATCTTATCTATATATTTTGTTGGTATCTTTTGTTAGTTTATTATTTTTTATTTGTATTTTATGTTTAATTTATATTATTTTATTATAAACACAATTTTTTATATTAAAGGAAAGAGATTAATCATGATCAACCTGATATCAAAATCATATTCTTTTAATAATTGTTTTTAACTAAAAGTTAATAGATTATTCAATAATAACTCAGATAAAGTTATAAACTCAAAACCTAAGTGAATTTATTCAATACGACTTATAAGATTTTGCTTATAGAATAAGCACATGAGGATGGGTGCGTTGGTTTGAAAGGCATGTGAAGCTTTTCAGCGCATTGAGGAATTTGGGTGTTGATAATAGCAAGTAAAAAAAGCATTTAAAAATAGAGAATAAGGGAAGTGAATGGAGCAAATCCCTATGTTTTTGTTTCCTGAATGAAATTGAAGAGCTTAATCATCATAAAACATAGCATGTGATTGCCAACAAATTATTTGTTTAAGCAAAGATGTATATAAAATTTATGTAACAACACAAATCACAACTCTAATGGGACCCTTTTTCCTATTTAAATTCATACCCATGTGCTTCAACAAACTTGTCCTTTTCTCTCCCATTTTATTCTCCACCGACTCCATTTTCAACTTCTTTTCTTCATTCCACCATAATACAAAATATCACTCTATTTCTTTCTTACCCTTTTATGTATATCTAATTAATAACATCCTATGCTAAACTTTCTTTCTCACAATATGCTTTCAAGAAAATTATTTCCTAAAACTTCAAAAATGCATTCATTATTACAACCTAAATCTTATCTTTTTTCTTTGTCTTAATGCACTTTGATACAAAAAGAGTTAAAGTGCATGGAGCATTCAATATGATACGAGTGACTTTTGGTTACCCAAACTAATTAATCTAGCCATTTAAAAGCTTAGGTACTCATGGGTGGTCCTCACTTGTAGCATAAAATTTGATTTTAACATAAATTGATTGAACTCTATGTTGACAAAATCACTTGCACTTTGGTAGTTGTTGTGGCAATTTGGGAGCCAACAAGATGAAGTCAAGAGTTTCCTCTTATGGGGACATGAGAGAATAAATTTAAAACTCTTTTTTTTCTTCTTCACATATTTTAAATGTGAAATATTAAGCACATTTTTTGGGAATCAAATTTTATAGTATTAGCTACATTATACAATATTAAAGAATTAAAAAAAAGGAAAAAGAAAAGGGATAATTTTATCTAGAAAGATGTTGAAATGCATAATCCTCCATGATCATTAAGCAATGACCCAGGAAACCCGTAACACATTCTGCCAAAAGAAAGCATGAAAGCTCTTGAATCCATGCAATCTTATTGGATTTAGGAATATAATGAAAAGAAAAAAGTTGGTTTACTTTTCACAATGCATTGCCATGTCATGGAAAGGAAACTAGCCTAGGGTAAATTGGAATTTTATTTCCCTTTAATTCTTGGTTTAAGATTTTGTAGAAAAAGATCGACATACACCTAAATTTCCGTATTGGTGAGGTATGGTTTATTATAGATAAGATCCTCACATGTCTATTTTTTATATTAATTAAAAAACTTTTTATCAAAAAAGATATTTTACATAAATTTATATTATTTTTTGTTTTACTTAATGTGAGACTTTGTTTTTATTCTAAAAAATTTTATTTTTCAACTTTTAAAAGAACTAAAATTCTTTATTTATTTTTTATGGTATTTTAAATAAATAGGTTAAGTCTAGGATTGCATAGAAATAGAAAACACAGGGAAAATCAAGAATTAGGTAAGAAAAAAATTGAAAAGTGAGAGAAATAGACAAAAATGACAAGTTTAGCATTTAGCTATAAAGAAACACATGTTTGAATGAGGTGTGAAATTGATGGAAAAATATGTTTGGTGGTGATAGTAGGAGTTGTTGTATTTTTTCCAAGGTTGAATATGGACCTTAAAAATGGACCCTAGCCAATAAAACCATTGTACCCAAGAATGAGTATTTTAGAAGGATTCTGCCAGTTGTTGTTGACGTACTTTTCACATGCTTTCTGATCCAACCCATTTCTCCTTAACCGACAACTCAATTCACCAAACCACACATTGCAACCGAGCAAATCTCTTTTTTACCTTAACTTTTACAATAACTGCTGGTAATTATGATCTTTAACTGATTAACGGCAGACATGATCATGAAACTCTTTTAGATTTCAGAATAAAATTGAAGTTAAAAACATTACACGTTCCTTATTTATCTGTGTAAGTGTTGTGATTGGTGGCAATGGATCTGTATGAGTAGTGTTAAGGAGGTGGCCGTTGGCCTATCATTGAAGCTGCATCTGTGCTTCTCCTTGTGTAAGCAGAGGAGTTACCCAGTTACGTGGACAGGGACCCAAATATGCACTGAAAGAGATAGTTGTGATGGAATAAGTTGAGGGGGGCTGAGCTAAATTTAGCATCAGATGGGGACCATGGTATTGAAAGCAACATGTCAATAACAGATGTGAATAAATCTTGCATTTCATTTTGTTACTTTCTTCAGAGTTTTTTATGCTATTCATGTTTTGAAAGAGATGGGGAGGACAGGCAAATGGCTCAGGAACTTGTTGACAGGGAAGAGAGACAGAGAAAAAGAGAAGGAAAAATGTAGTACAAACTCGTGTCTGTTAAATGGAACAACAGAGAATCCAACAACTCCTGCTTCTTCAACAACAACAATAACAACAACAACCCCCAAGGAGAAAAGAAGGTGGAGTTTCAGGAGATCATCAGCTTCCAGGGAACTGAATCTTGCAGAATCTGGTGTCACTGCCTCAGTGACAGTGCAAACTACCACCACAGATGCTGAGAATGATCAAAGGAAACATGACACTGTGGTGGCTCTGGTGCCTGCTATCATCTGCTTGACTCCTGATTCCAATATATCGTCAACAAGTATTGAAGAGGCTGCAGCCATTAAAATTCAGTCAGTTTTTCGGTCCTACTTGGTATGTTATGTCATTTGGAGTTGTTTGGTTTGAAAAAAAACAACATCTCTTCAACTTTTGTTCACTTTATTCTGTATATATTTCAGAAAACAGGAGACGATGAAAACAAGAAATGAAAACAGAAACTTTTTTTCTCAGACCCGATAGGCTAATATTGGACTTTGTGTGTAGAGAACTGATACTGGTATGTGCGTGTGACTAATACTTCAATGTTTCTGCAATAGGCAAGAAAGGCACTGTGTGCTCTTAGAGGACTGGTGAAGTTGCAGGCACTGGTGAGGGGTCACTTGGTGAGAAAACAGGCCAGGGAGACACTAAGATGCATGCAGGCTTTGGTCGTAGCACAAGCCAGGGCTCGTGCTCAGAGGGCAAGGATCGTGTCAGAAGGAAAGGTTGATCAAAATCTTTCACCCTACAGAATGTCCCCAGAGGACAACTTCTTCATGCACATGTATAATGTGAGTTCAATAACTGCTGCCAACTGACTACCTTTCAAATTGCAGAAGCATGGTTTCTTTTAAAATTTTACATGAAAAATTTCTGATAAACATTGGTCTTTTCTGCCTAAGGTAGTGAGAAAATGATAAATTTTCATTCTGAATTAACTGCAAAAACACTTTGTAGCACTTATAAACGAAAACAGACTTAGTACTATTCAAATCATGCTAGACACAATATAGAGTTACTTCTTTTATGTGAAGAATATCTTGCACTGTTGAATTTGGAAACTAAATTAATTTAGTCTGGCCAGACAAAAAGAAAAGGAAGGAAAATAACAATAAGCTCTTCTGTTTGATTGATATAGAATGTGCTGTTTGTTCATCTAGGAAATGGAAAGTGGTCTGGAATTGGAAGAGAATGCCAAGATTGTTGAGATGGCTGTTTGCGAATCCAAAGCTAACTCCAGAGGCAGAAAAAGCTCTCCAAATCGAGAACTTTCTGATCACAGATTTTCTACATATTACTCATCAAATGGTTCATACTCAAAGGAGGAAAACTACAATGCATCACCTGCACCATCAACACTGACAGAATTGAGTCCGAGAGCATACAGTGGTCATTTTGAGGATTGTTCCTTCAGCACAGCACAAAGCAGTCCCTATTACAACAACACAAAGCTACCTTTTTCCTTCCCTAAACCAGCCTACACAGAAGCCATGTCCTATGACTACCCTTTATTTCCAAACTACATGGCCAACACAGAATCATCAAGGGCCAAATCCAGATCACAGAGTGCACCAAAGGCAAGGCCAGATTCTGTTGAGAGGCAGCCAAGCAGAAGAAGGGCTTCAATGGAAGGGAGAAATGTCCCAAAGCCAGTCAGGATGCAGAGGTCATCTTCTCATGTTGGTGTCACTGCTCAAAACTACCAATATCCTTGGTCAATAAAGCTTGACAGGTCCATAGTCAGTGAGTGTGGCTCTACAAGCACAGTGCTCACAAACTCTAATTACTACTGCACATGATCCTGATGTGAGTACTGCTACTAACCAATCTCATGTGACATGTTCTCACCACAAAACTGAATTGATAGGGCAACACAAAAACAACTCAAAGGAACCATGTCTATTAACAATAATAGTCTTGCATAAAGGCTAGGTCATGTCACTTAGTTTTGTTAATACTGTTTGATCTGATAAGGTTTCACTATTGCTTGTTTTAGCTGCAGCCTCATGGACTTTCCACTGCAACAGAGTACCCGTTTTGCAGCAAATTAATCTTTTAGACTCTGCATTTACAAATTAAGGGTCCTAGCTTCCAAGGATTTTCCTTTCTTTATTTTTGAGTGAAGTTCAAAGTTTGAAGAGTGTCTTCTTGTATTTACTGTCATGTGGATTACACTACGACTACGAGAACAGATTTTAACTGTTTGTGAACTGTGTATAAATTGTGCAAAGTCGGATATTTCCTAACAGCAATTGTATTTGGACATTATTCCTCATAATTCCTCAACGCATAATTGAAACTTCTATTTGGATCAAATTGTTACATGTTGTAGCCTCAAAACTTCAAAAATAAATGAATATAATCATTTTAACCTAACAATGTTAACTTCTTTTACTTATTAAATGATATTCTTGACATTTAAGGTGAAATGTGTCAAATGGTGTAAACTACTCAAATATCATTGTAAAACACACTTTAATGCATCAAAAATAAAACTGATGTAGCATTTGTTGGGTCTAGAGAGACACAAGCACCAATGACATCTGAGCTCAACCACATAAGGGATTAGCACCACTCTATACCCAAAAACTTAAGACAATGGATTAATGGATCTTTCATCTTTATATAATGTTCTACTTTCTCATTTCTATCTAATATGGGACTTTAACTCACTTAGTTTCTCAACCATAAAAGCATTGTGCACTTTAGATGTTTGAATGTCTTATTCTAAACAAGCTATTTAGGAGATAAGATTAAATCTTATGCAGAAGTGTTGTTATTGCAATATTATTATAAGTTGGAGCCATGTTGCATACCCTGTCATTAACACACAAGTGTTATAATGTATAGCACATGCAGGCCTACAAATGGACAGAGTTATATAGTAACAGACTGGCATAAACTACTTATCATTTGAAATAAATTGGTACTTAAGCTATCAAATAATGTAAAAATAGCATGGATTATCAAAGGAAATGCATATTAATTCTCCAAAGACACTTTATTTAGTATAAACAACCATATTAAATATATATAATTTTAAATTTAATCAATGATTTATGTGGTCAAATCATTAACTCCTTAATCCAATACCTCAATTGGTTGAATTACTAATCCAATTATAATAACATTAATAAGTAGGTCATCTAAGGGTTTTGTCTTTTCAAATAACACTAAAATACATTTATAGAAAAGTACATATATCACCACGCTATAAGTGGACAAACTAGGAAACGTTTTTATTTAAAATGATAGAGTTCAGTGATCTGAGTTTATTTTCAGTAAACATTAGAAACATTTAAAAAAATTAAATAGTCTTTAAAATTAATTTTAAGATTTTGGGGTGAACGAAAATTAGAAAAAATATGAATATTTTTAGCTAGGATTGACAAGAACACGATTATATTTGTTCGAAAAGTAAAAATTTACATTTATAATATTTATTAACACTCACTACCATATCATTCAATTTAGAGAAAAGTGAAATCCAGTTGTATGCAATTGGTTGGACCGATCGATTTTTGACGGTAGTATATAAGTAAACTTTTCAAAGTTTCAGACTACTTTCTGCATGTACCTCTTCTCTCCAAATTTCTGAGTTTTATTTTCTCCTCCTTCTCTCTAAAATTTTTCTCCTTCTCTCTACAAATTCTCATCTTCTTTTCATTCTGATCATCAATTTAGACCGTGCTTGAGTTTCCTGGTGGCAAGAGTTTCTCTTTTCACCAATCAAGTTGTTGTTTGGAGTTGGTAAGTTAAATTCAATCGTTCTTTGAAGTTTCTGTATTTTCCGATACATGGAAGCATTGTTCAAGCTTGCATGTATTCATCATCTACTTCTCTGAGTTTGTTTTATGTCTTTGATTGTCTGGTTAGTTCCTTTTCATCGATCAGAAAGTAGTAGGTTGCCTTAAAAGCTGATTTCTGGTTAGTCAACACAGTGGAGGCTTAGGAAGTGTCTGGTTTATTCGAGGTAAGGGAAGCCGGTAATTTAGTTATGTTCGTTTATGATTGAAATGCTTGGTTGAACGTGTGTATGTGTGAATAAATTAATATTTGTTTGTTTTATGTGTATTGCCGAGACCTGTGAACTGGTTGAGAAGTTTTGAAGAATTGTAGGGAGTAGAGTGCTCATTATCGAGCGCTCGGTCAAGTCTTGAAATCGGGTTTAGTAATATTAGGTTTGTAGTGATATTTTAACTTAGTGTGTTCGGTTTAATATTGGCTTTCCGTTTTCAAAATATTTGTTTTTCAACCTCAGTAATCTTCGAGTTGGTATTAACGTTCGTCCTTAGTAGTCTTATATTTAGTGTTCGGTTTTAATAGTATACGTTATTAATAGCGATCGGCCTAATTGATCATTTACCGAGTTTGGTCTCTTTAGTGTTACCAATGTTGAACGTTCGATTTTAGGTGTGTTGGTCGTTCTCTGTAGCGCTCGGTCATGTATTTCTTTGGTAGTGTTTGGTCATGTACACATTCGGTATAAAATCTTTTATCGTTCGAATTGAGCTATGAGTGTTCGATTTAAGCTCTTCCGATGTGGGCTAAATTATTAGTAGTTGGTTTTTATATAGTGGTCGGTCAGTAATAACGTTCGGATATTTCTTCAATTTTATTTATTATGGATCGTTTGGTCCTGTCCCTTTAGTAAGTGTGAAGGTGTTCGGTCTCCAATGTTCACAGGTTTTATCTTTCTTATGAGTGAAAATATAATTGATGAATGACTGTGTATGTTAAGTTATGAGAATTATGCTTTCAAATACTGAGGAAGAGAATTCCAAGGCGGAATGTCTCGTAGATGGTTATTGAATTGTAAAGTATGAATATGGATATTGCTAAGCTGGCGTCCATCCTGAAATTCTATGAGTATCTTTCTCACATAGAGAGAGATATTTCATTTGTGAGAATAGCAGGAGGTCCTACCACCTCAGGGTGTCGAGGTAGGTATTATGGGATTAACCTTGGGTAGTAGCTTGATTGGTGTCAGCTGTTACACTACCACAAGTGCAAGGACGACTGTAGCTACATATTCATACAATCTGGATGGTCAAGTCAGGTGTTCGGTCTATGCATGATTTGTGGTGTTAGGCTTGTATATGATTGCTTGTATTCAGTGTTTGCATGATGCAACGTTCGATTTCGTACGGTTTGAACTTACTTGCATGAAATATCTAGATGTGTTTATAGTTAAATTACATTAGCTTACCCTACTTTCTTGTTTTGTCTTGTATTGTCCGTCTTTCTTTTGCAATAATCATCCTGTGGATGTGAGTAAAAGGCAATGAGTGTTTGGTGGAGCAAGCGTTGGAAGGCGAGGATCATGTTGCTTAGGTTAGGACCGCTCAGTCACCAGTTGTATTTAGTTTTAGATTGGAATGATCGGTGAATAGTCTTAGCTTATCTTTTGTAAACCAATCGTTTTATACAGGGTGTTGTATAACCATTCGGTTTATGTCTATGTTTTGTATCAGACTTATGGTACTTTGTAAAGTTTTTAGTTTTATGGTTATTTTGGATAACTGTAATGTTAAATACTTTACTAACTCTTGAAGAACTTATCTATCATATTATTATATGTGATTAATCTATGATATAGTATTATGCTATATTTTGAGATGTTACACTCACTAATATTTATTTTTCATGGTATATGATATTTATTAAATATCTTTAACAAAATTTATAAATTAAAAAATATATAATATTATCAAGTATTTAATCTCTTATCTTGAGTTCAAAAAAAAAAGAAAATAGTACAATTGCTTAAACTTAAATATACAATATCGAAAAAGTTAAATTTATTTTGATAATTTGTAACAAAGATAAATATAAAGACACTTTGTATTAAATGATCAAGTGTAGGCAATTAATTTTAAAAAAATGAAGATATTACTCAATCAACTTTAACTTAATAGTTTTTATCAGACAACATGCCTAAATTTATGTCCAAGTCCCAAAAAACGTAGGATATCCGAAACTTTTACTTTTTCAATGAAAGATTTCTTCGTAAAAAAATCAGTACTTTAGTTCCAAACCTGAAAAAATAATTTAACATATATCATCTCAAACCTGAACAATCCATACTAGCAGTGTTGCTGTATCCAATAGTATTCCTATTTTCTTATGGATATTTCACACAATAAATAACCATTAAACATGCATATTAACCTAACCTACATATACAAACACAGGACTGTTCTAACTTAACTAGTATCACATTCAAGTTCAGTATAAACCTATATTAAACATGTATCCAACTTGTGTACACAGTAACAGAGATTTTTCCAACTTAACCAGTAGTCTCAAATGAGTAGGCACTTATATTAAATACTTCAAAAATAAAATATGGTTTATACCAATGAAGAATCTACCTAGTAATGGAGTATCTTTCCATATTATTTGAGACTATTAACAGATAACAGAAAGACCAAACTGTGAAATTCTACAAGTAAGCATAATAGTTTAGGGTTGAGCAACTTATACCAAGTTTTTTGCATCTCTGATAATTCTCCTAGTGCTTTGATTTCCTCTTATGCTCATACCAATAATGTTTTCATTGATCCTTTGGCATACAAAGACTGAGTGACCCACATGAATGTTCTTTTGCAATCACTAGTCAAGAACATGATCCACTTTTGCTGGGACCTCATTTAAGCCAAATAAATGACAAAATTGGATGTTGACAGACATGCCTCCCAAATAAATGACGTCAACCATTATGGACAAACTATGAGCTCTAACACTGTCACATTTTTTTTTCCTAATCCATTCACATATGAAACAGATATTTTTATCTTATATTTTGCAGGGCACCTGAATCTCTCATTTATATGGAGAAAATAGAACTTTTTAACCATACAATAATATTTAATACCAGACAAATATTTCTGTTCAAAATTTGAATAACCTCAGTGATTATGTTCAATAGGATACTATGAAAGAACGTTCTTTCATACTACTATGAATATATGATTATAGTATGAATAGACCATTTTATTCTACAATGGAAAGAGGATACATAAATAAATAGTTGATTTAAATTTGGACATCCACCATCAAACTCAATATTCGTATCTGAACCACAAAAGTTACATATAAAATATCTATGCTAACTGCTTGAATACTTCCCTTGTCAAAATATAACAGCACAAACAAACTAAAGGCCAAAGCTTCCAAACCAGAAGAACAGAAAGCCAATTGTGAAAAAAAGTAACAAAAGTGCAACTCCTTGATGGCTTGGATAACTTCAAATAATTAATAAATTATATATGGATCTAACAAAATTATGAAGCACACAAGCTTGCCAGCAATTGCCACATCCCAAGAACACAAACAAAACATCACCAAATTCCATCTGTATTTGTTGAACAAGCAAATCTTCAAGTGAGCCTGTCATTTCTACCTTAAGAAATAAATATACACCAAGTACTAGTGAAGTACACTAAGATCGGGGCATCTTTTATTTGAATAACCGGGGAAGAACTTCATGAACACCAATGTCCAAAACCTCTGGATCCCTGAAAATATCAAACAATATAGTTATAATTTGTTAACCTCTAACAGCAGTAGGGCTTGACCTATTAAAAGTTACAATTTAAAAATAAGGATGAAATTTTAAGGAAAATGGCAACGCGCTTATGATATAAAATAGTTTTATGTTGTCATCCAATAACAAATTCTTATATACTTGCTTGGACAAACTTCTCCATAAGCAATTTTCATCGAGAAAAAAGAAAAAATGAAAAGAACTTTTCCATAAGTTAGAATTAGCTTATGTACAAGTTTAAAATGAGAATTAGAGAAGCCATGAGACAACTTGTACAGATTAACCTATCCATAAGAAAATTTTAGCTTATGAAGACTCATTTCATTTTTAAACATAAAAGTTACTCTGAAGTTGAAATTTATTTGACAGAAGTCTAAACTTTTAAATCTAGCCTTTTTGGGCTCCTTTCGAGGCTTTCTCTGTTATAAAAGATAGCCTTTTAAAGCTTTTTTTCTTAAAATTTTGCTTGGGTCAACTTCTTTTGAGGGGAAAAGAAGCCTAAAATAAGCCCAGTCAAACACTACCAACCTAGTGGATAGGAAGTACTAAAAATAGGAAAGGAGAATAAAGTTGATAAGAAACAATTATTATAAGCATATATATCCTCATATTTCCCAAAAAGAACACTTTATACTTGCAATATCACTCCCATAGATTGTTAAAAACTTATATTCACGTAAATAAGTGTATGCAAGAGATAATAGGAGAAAAACCTGCACAATGTCTGTCCCTTTTCATTTGAACTAGGTATGAAAAAGAGCTTTCGCAGGGAGGGTGACTCAAACTGCACAAAGAAACCGTCACTGTGTGCATGTTTCCACTTTCTTGATCCTTGGCCCTTCCAGACCTGCATGAATAGAATAGAATTAATAGATTCTGCAGTCATTTAGAATTCACAATTCTAAATTCTGTCAGAAAATGAACATTGACTAAATAGATTTACATATTCAAAAAGTTTGACATTAACATGTGTTTGGCCAATTAATGCACCAGTACAGCCCCAAAAAGAATTGCGTGGAGAGGATGGCTGAGACAAATTTAATGAGAAACACCTAAAAAAGTCCTTCGTATAAACGACCACACAAGAACTTGGATTTTGCAAAAAAGAAAATGGTATCATAAGGTCGATGTAGTCAGAATCCCACCATGAACCTCTAATTTTGTATTAACCTGAACAGCCCAAAAGGAGAGAAATTGAAAAAAATAAAATAAAGGGAGAGGAGATGGGATGGAAAGGCAAGTATAAAGCTAGTCACTAGCTGATAATTTACATGTAGGATTCCATGGGAACGTTAAACTATAATAAGAAATAGTATTGAAAATGAAGTGATAAGCTAAAAGAAGAAGCACATCTTTGAAGGGAAGCCTCATTTTATGTCTTATACCCGTTTTGTCTTTTTAAAACACACACCCTTGTGAGTCACTACATCATCATTATTGATGTAATGAGCTCGTCAGTGAACAAAAACCATTTTTCCTATTGAGACTACCAGGTCAAGCTTGCCAAGTATTTGACAATCCTCTTTGAGCAACAAAGATCTATTGTATCAAAGCGCAAATTTAACTAAAACATATGCCAATTGGATGGGAGACATATCCCTTCAGTTCAGTCCTTCCGCTACCATCTCCATGTGTTGTGTGGCCATGCCTAGAGTATGTAATGTATAAAAAAAAATTAATGGTATCAAGTGCCCCGATTCTTTAACTACAAGAATAAAACTACAGACCTTTTCCTATTTACTTTTCACGTAGTGCTATACCACTGAATTTGAAACACCAAAGGGCATGAATGCATCTGAATTAACTCATATTGGGCCCACCTAAAATGATAGGTCGATCAGCTTAAACATTTTGGTAGGTGCAAATTTCACACACCTTGCAACCTAGGAATGAAATTATGACTTCTCTTCACTTTCCCTGTTGAAAATGTGATATGCCTCAAAACTACCCCTTAACCTTGTAATAAAACTTCCCATTTAACTTGAACTTCTTAACCATTTACAGCATCTGATGTGGAAGTTTGATTCCTCAATGCTTTAAGAAATCAGAAGTTACCTGTGGGTAAGCAATAATGCTTTTGGGAGTTACCAAGCAGGCTGCTTTGGAGAAAGATTCCTCTGCGTACTGCCTCAGAAATGAAAAGCAGTTGCTGTGCGTATGTGGTGATTCAAAGGCCTGCCAAATAAGATGAGAAAAATAAAAATATTAAAACTCATAATAGCATACAGGGAAGTTTTAAGAGTTGATAATCATAAGTGCACAAAGATTTAACAATAAAATGCATACCTTATCAATATTCACAACTGGGGCATACTTATCGGTCTGTGTCTTTTCCTTATCCAGAAGAAAGTAAACTCTAGCATCCACTGAAGATGTTTCATGCCATGATTTTACAGCAGTCTCTATAGTCTCAACAAGGAATGAGAACAAATCTTTCCCGTATTCCGATCCATACTTTCCAGCCTGTATGAAGGAGATCATTTAATCCTCACAAGGGAAATTTTAAAATGATGCATGATTATATGGAGAAATAAATTATTTCACATCCATTAATAAATATTAATAACATGAAATATAAGTTAAAGGGAACAGAAAAAATAAAACATCTAGAAACAAAGAAGTAGAAGGAAATAGATATTTTTCCAACAATCTCAGTTCATTTTTTCAGTTGTTTTTCTCTGTCTGAGAACCTGAGTCTCTGCTGTTCATTCAGTTGAAATTGGATGTATTAATACATTATTCAATTTTGAATGTGTTGATATCCTACAGCTTATTGTCATAAATTTCTAGCAGCACCAAAGATGTAGAAATTCTGAGTCCCACCTTCGTTCAGACATGGGAGACAGGAAGTAAGAGGTAAAATGTGAGATCACAACACAAAATGGAAGATCCTAAAACGGGGGCATATAAAGTGAGTATGGAAAGAGTTAATTTTAGTCATACAATAAAATACAACCATACAGAAATATTCAAAATTATTGCTAGAATAGAGACCCTTGACACCCCAATGCTTTAACAAAAGACTAGGTCTTATCTCACAGATACACAAGTTTCTGATGTTTTACAATGTCTTAGAAAATCACTAGACATTTCAGGAACTTCATAATTATACTTTAAATAAACTCAAATTCTCCAAAAAAATGTGTCCTTATCATTAAATTGAAGAAGAAAATGAATTTCCAAGGAAAGATACAGCATACTAGGTCAAGAACAGAACATTTTATCTAAGAAAGAAACCTATAGGAGCAGAGATTTGAGCAGCACAATCAAAGATTAAAATATTTTTTCAGCCAAGAGATTTGAAGAAAAAATACTCGGGAATTAGCTCGAACAGGCTAGTAAAGAAGAATTAGGCACTGAAACATTGAATATAAACAGTTGAAAAAGGACAGTGAAACTCGTGGCTCTTTTGTCAAGGATTAAGGACCAACCTCCTGTTTATGAGATAAACTAGTATATAAATTAACATGTGTAACCTTTTGTTCGTCATCTTCTCTCTTCATGCTTTTATTAACACTCAATGGGGACTTCATTGGAGATTTTGTTTTAAAGATAAACCAATAGTCTGCCTGATCATGAATAAATGCTGCATTGAGAAAGGGTTTTTTTTTGGTTGATTTTTTTATTTGAAAAAAAATTATTTATAGTAGAAAACTTAGTTTAATCATCCTTCTTGTCTGTTTATGAATATTTTACACTTGATCATCCAATTTGGTTTTTAGGTTAAGATTAGCATACACACATACAAACACTATAATGGACATAATCAGATTTAGTGTTTTTGCAAAACCAATAGAAGTTTAACCAACATTTGTCATCCTTCACTTTGATTTCCTACTCGTGAAGAAGTTTAAAATCAAAAGCTGTTACAGTATTTGTTTCTTCTAAGTTCCAACTCCACCAATTGACTTCCTTTTTTATTCATAGACGAAGAATTTATTAAAAAAAGGAGAAAGATGCAAAAATAGAGGATAAGACATCCATAAGGGAAAAGGACAACAAAGTAAAAACTTGAAGAGCAAAAGGGGAAAAGACCAAAAAAAAAAGCAAAGACCAAGAATATTGCAACAATGCATGCTAATTTCTCTGAAGATCCAACAACATTGCATATATTGGTATTTATTTATTAATCCTTTTGGTGTTAATAAATTCAGATTATTTAGAGTTTATAGTCACTTTTGATTGCTTGCATTCAGCTTGTGAGATGTTGCACCCATTACCACTGTTGGAAGTCACACATCGACTAGAGATATGGCTAATTTATAATATATATAAGTGGCTGCAAACCTCACCTTACAAGCCGGTTTTGTGGAATTGAGTTAAGCTTAAAGTCCACTTCTTAACATGGTATCAAAGCTCTGGTTAGAGCCTATTTTAACGATATTTGTTGTTTGTTGGACATGTTGTTCCGTCTGCTATTAGGCCGTTATCGAACCACCCATTAATGTCTAATCTCACGCTCGAGATGATGTCTATATCTTTGCGTGAGAGGAGTGTTAGAAGTCTCACATCGACTAGAGATAAATCCAATTTATAATATATGGTGCAAACCTCACCTTACAAGTCAGTTTTGTGGGATTGAGTAGAGATCACAAATATTTGAAGGTTTTTGTAGCAGTGACTCTGAACAGCATCTAAAAGCCATTTTGTACCCCATTTCTGTCTTGTCATACCTAGTTTTTGGAGGATTATTTTATTATCTCTGTCTTTCTTCACCAGAGGTGTAATGGTTTTGGAAACCCATGTATGAAACTCTTTCCCACTGACCCCAACAACCTTTCGACCTTTGATGCAATCCCTCCAACCCACAGATTCCTAACATAGTTCAGGTCAAGCCCCACAACCATTGATCTAATGCACACTTACCTGTTCAGCCAGCCCTCTATAGCATGACTCAGTTTTCACGTAAGTATTTTCTTTTTATCACAGGTCTACGTAAGTATTTTCTTTTTATCACAGGTCTTACCTTCCACCTTCTTGTTGTGGCATTGCCGCTCAACATTTTGTTTCATTATCATTGATTTGTATATTTAGGCATAAAACTGAGACTTCTGAATACTAATTTTGAATATATCCCAAATTTTGAATTGTTACTTTTATTTTTTAACTATTTTAAGGGTAGTCTAAAATATATAATTCGTATTTTAAAATCTTCAATGTAGTGGTCATCCCACTATGTGCTACCTCACTATAGTGATTTTATGGTCAGCCACTCTGTGCTGTTATTTGGGATTGTTAACTACGAGGTTAGCCTACACCGGGATAGCTATACATTGAATTTGATAATTTTGACTCGATTTAAGAATATACGTTATTCCAAAACTTCTGTTTCTACCTCTGTGTATTCGTTCTCCCTTTTTGTCTCTCTTCCCTTCTCTTTCTGCCATACCCTTTTCAAATCATATGTGTTTGTGTATTAATTAATTAATTAATGCAAAAGAAAAGCTGAGAAAGCACATAATTTTTTACCACTCCTAGTTACAGATTGGGCATATATGGATACTAACCATTTCAGATTTCAATGTATCTAAATGTTTGGCCACGTCAACATTGGATCTCATATTCTCCACTTCTTGGGCTCGCTTGCTATCTTTCACCAGTTGGTTCAACCTCTTTATCTTTCTTGATACTTCTTGACTTTGCGAGTTATACTGCAATGCTATCTGAAAGGCAGCTAAAGCCTACAAACAAATATTCACACAAGCATACACAATAAGAATAAAATCCTGAACCGAAGCAGAACAAATAGCTTCCAATTAAATTTAAGCAATAAGCTATTGAATACATACATCGTCGTATCGTTTCATGGCTTCCAATATGCTTCCCTTCCTGAAATATCCCTGGAAATGTATTCAAGCAGCATCACTCCAAAATGTATTACAAAGGTGCAGACACTCAAATATTAACAAATTAGATAAACATTTACCTTCTCCCATTGGGGTTTTAATTTGATTGTTATCTCTGCATCATCTAGAGCTTTATTAAGCTTATCCAATTGCAGCAATGCTGCAGCACGATTACTGGAAGCCACCAAATAAACAGAAGAAACTACATCAGGAATCAAGATAAGGTTTATTATGCATTGAGTTCACACAACATATCTGACATGAGAAAAATGTTGATCCAAACTACTAAATTTATATAAGAAAGAAAAAGGCAGTAACTTCTAAGTGCCACGCAACACATTTCTAGAATGGCCTATATTATTAATTAATAATTATTTCTAACAATATGCCCTCTGACATGAGATATGATAAGAAGCTGAATTATAGTGTGTGACAATCAACAAATACTGATATCAAATGAAAAGTAAACATAAAAAAAGATACCATGAAATAGTTAACCTTTCAAAGATAAATTTTTTCTACTTCCAGAAACAAAAAAAAAAAATTGAAACTCAGTATATTCCACTCACTTGCTTCCTCAGTGTCAAACAGACCATGAAGCTCAGTATATTCCACTCAGCTAACCAACACAGTTAACTGAAAGAAACCTAAAAAGGGAGTCTTTTTTTCCTATTTAAGAGCTTCAGCTTAAGCCTTAAGCGTCTATCTAACTCCAATCCAAACAACACACATAGTCATGCCAAACTGTCACTAAAAGACTAAATTTCTGAAACTCTGATAATATACTGGCAATAAAAACTGACACCTCGGTCTACATAAAAACCGAAAACCCCAACTAAAATAATAATGATAACAAAAGAAAAGAAGAAAGCCTTTCGTGATTTCAAGGGAAACAAAATAAACAAGACAAAAAAGCAGAGCTGAAGCAAATTTTGAAACCCACAATCGAAAGAATTGAACAATGACACCCAAATGAAAAAAGGTGAAAGTTTTAAAAGAAAAAGGTACCTATAGAGAGTAGGGTTAGAAGGGTCTTGCTTGATGGCTTGAGTGTATAGTGCAGCAGCTTTGAGATACTTTCCTGACTTGAAAAACTCGTTGCCCTGATCCTTCAGAGACATCTCCGAACCTGAACCTTCTTTGGTTTCTGCCATTGATGATCTTTTTCCTCTTAACCTTAAAATCTGTGATTCCGGTTCCTAAAGGATGTCTGTAGGGTTTACCACGAAGATGTTTGTTCCTTCCAAAACCGTTTTCTTTGGTTTTAGATACTAACAAATAAGCTCCCTTCCCCTCTTGTCTTACTTTTATTATATTTAATTTGTAATCTTATCTTTTAAGAAATCATTTTAATTTTTTTATGTTTTAAATGTGTTGAATATTGTTACTTTATCAGTTTAAAATAAAAATATTTGTTAACATTGCTTAAAAATTTAATATTTTTTACATGTTAAAAATGTGATAATTAATTTAACTTTTTTTATATTTTTTACTTCAGCTGAATTCAGTTTCTTTACCCGTGTGAAAAAATAATGTAGAGATTTTTCTTTTGATAATCATAATTTACTTAATTTCCAAATTAAATTAAAGATTTGAATTGTATATATTTAACTATCAAGACAATATTGATTGATTGAATGATAATTTTTAATCAGCATTATACTTTTAAATTTTCAATTTAAAAAAAAAAATTACAAAAAGTAATCTATTTTTGTGTTTAGCTTTTTATTCTGTTACATGAGTGTTAAAATAGATTAAGGCTTATTCCATATTGATACACTTTAGTCAAGATATTCTAATTTGTTTAACAAGTTTGCATGAATTGAGTATGCATGTTAAATTTATTCTTAAAAATTATTTTCTCCACAAAAATGTTAATATGTTCTTTTTCACTTTTTTTTTATTTGAATAAAATGATCTTGTATAGTTGTGTTTATCATCTAGGTGACTCAAATATCTCCATCAAATGTAAAAAACCAAAAATTGATCAAAGAGAGTGAAACACACTAATATTTGTAAAATTAATTTGCTACATAACCATATTTAGAGATCTAAGATTAACTTAGTGATGAATTTGGAAGGGAATATGAGAGAAGTTATAGATTCAAGTAAGAAAAAAGTTAAAATAAGTAATACTTGAAAGTTTTTGTTTATATAGTAATATAGTATTTTCTAAGTTGAGTAATTATGCTAAATTGATTGGTTTATTCTTTAACTATAATTGATTAAAACAATTGTTGATTGGTTGGGATGATATTTTTAATGATGATGTGGTTTGTTTGATTGATGAATAAACTTGTTTATGATGTACCAAATGAGTCACTTCATGATTTTTAAGCTATAATTGGGTAACTATAAAATAAAAGAGTAATTTAGCTTAGAAAGACTACATTAGCACATTTGATTCACATATTTAGTTTTTTATTTAATAGGGCACTAGGTGACCATTTGAAAACAAATCAATTATTTATATCACTCACAATAAATTATTCTAAATATCAAATGAAGAAATCATGCAAAGTATGAAAATATGTTCCTCAACCACAATCCACCATAATCAATTCATCAAATTAAAAATTTCCACTTTTGATTTTTTATTCTGTATATTTACCACAATTATTAACATTTACTTTATTTGTAAGCTCTTATTTATAATTTTAATTTGAAAGTGACTTTTTGAGGAAAAAAACTAATTAAAAGGAATGAAGTTTTTCTAAATGATTAAAATCTATAACATTTTATAAGAGAATAAAAATAAGCATTGATATAAAGTAAGAAATTAAATATATAATCAATTTTTAGTTAATTTTTCCTTCTAAATACCATAAAGTAACATATTTGTCATTTCTTAAACATGTGATACAGAGCATATAAAATTATGTATTATAAAGAAAACTTTTAAGGAAAAGCTCTTAAAATACAACCAACAACTATCATTCTAAAAAATTTCTAAAAATTAATCTGTTTTTGATAATTTCATCAGTGAGTGATTATAAACATATTTAATTAGGCAATTACTTTTTTACTACCATTATATTTTTTAATAATTTTTTGTCCACTTTTATACTCTGTATAAAGGATAATTCTTTTCTTCTTCTTTTTTTTATCACAAGTAAACTTTACTAAGGTTGAGTGCCATTGAAAAATTAGTTACCTGAAACATAAATAATTTAATAAAGATGTTCAATAAAAAATATCCAAAATTTTAACTTGTAATTTTTTTTACTATCATTCTAATATCAATCGGCACTGTAACCCATGAGTTCAATCCATTCTAATGATTTTAGTTGAGATACTAAAATTCATTTCAAAGTTAACTAATTTGAACATGTTGAGGAAATGTTGAAATTTTACCTTAAAAACATTCTTAATTTTAAATGCATTCACTAATACAATTTAGGTAGATATCACAAAATCATAATTATATAAATGACAAATACCTTGTTTGTTTATGTTTCCTTTATTAATCTCTACAATGCACATATTATCACATGTGTAATAATAATAATAATATATTAACTAAATAAAATGAATCAAGTGCTGTTTTAAATTTATAATGTCACGTTTTCTTTCAAAACTTACAAATTAGTTGTCAACTTCATACATATCAAATACTTAAAAAAGAGTATTGTATTTAATATATCTATCTCAAATAAGATTGTTTCTAGAAAAAAAAATATATGTAGAAAAAAAAAAGTTCACATACTCTGTCACATCTAAATTAATGCAATATATTCACATGATCATATGTAAGCTATATAAAACCCCATTGTGGCTTTGTCCCTTTTAACCTACTTTTTCAATTCTTTTCATTTGTTTGTGCACTACCACCATGACCAACTTTTACAATGGTGTGTTAAATCATGCACAATTATTTGAACTTCGTAACAATACAAGTTCAAAAGGATGCAAATTGTGCAATCAAGTTTTCACTAGCACACAAGCTCTCCTAGTTCATCTTGAGTCTCACATGGCACAAGAAGAAATAGCCATTAAAAGACTCCACTCATTACCTCAACATGTCAATTCTCAAAAACAATTAGGTTTCCAATTGCCTATACAACCTATCATGGGTGGTGGTAGGGGTTTTCAAGCACAACCACAACCTATTATGGAGACAAATCACTCAATTAGAAGAAATCCATTTTCTAATGCTAGCCAAATTGGTTCTTCCTCAATACCAATTAGGAGAATCCAAGTTCCATCACAACTTTTTCCATATGGTGCAAATATCAATGATGATGGGTCCAAGGCATACATCTTGAATTTGGAGAAACCCATCAAAAAGATTGATTTCATTGACTTGGTTAGCACAGATGATGATAACAACTCAGAAGTGGAAGAGGTAGATTTGAATTTAAAACTCTAGAAACTTATCTTCAAATATTAAGAGATATTATTATGATTGAGTTTTGTCAATTCAAGCCTTTTAAATTATATGTTATAACATATTACCATTTGATTTTGTTTACTTTAGTTTTCGGAATTGAAAGTTGTAATGCAATAACGAGAAAAAAATGTAATAGTGATTTTGGTTTTGTATTATTGAAAGGCTACACAAACTATTCAATGTTCAATGCATATTAAATTTAAAGAAAATTTTAACACATTAATTAGTAAAACAAAATATCAATAGAACGTGATATTATAATCTATATATATTGTTTACGTTCACATTAATATTATTATTATTTTTTCATCTTTGTAATTATGAATAAACTTAGCTAATAAAAAGTAGAAAAAAATTTCACAATATAAAAAAGGAAATATATAAAATAAAGGAGATTGTAATTAAAAATTAAACTTAGCATTTTTGGATCAATTGAGACAATTTCATAACTAAAATTCAAACGTTTACCATGCTAAAATTCATTCCAAACTAGAATCATTGAAGCATTTTATCAATATTATCGATTGTTCAATTTTTTTTTCCCAAACTTGAAATTTATTCTGTGAAGTTTATATTTTACCTTAAACAATTTTTTCTTTTACTCTTTTCAATACAATCGACTGATGCATTTTAGGTAAATATTATAAAATCAAAATCATATAACAATAAACGCTTTATTTGTTTCCATTTTCATAAGTAGTCTCTATAGTGCTTATATATATTGCATATGCAATAGTGATAAACTAGCTATATTAAATAAATATATTTTAAAATTATTTTGAAATATTATTTTGAACATTAATCAATAAATATGTAAATTCTATTTTGAACTGGTTAGAAACTATTTTATAATATATAAATAAAATTACGGAACACTTCTCAACTTACACACGTGATGTTCTTTCATGGTAATTTTATAGTTCTATATATTCCATGTATTGGATATTATTTTTCCCTTTGTCGTTATATGCCTAAAAGACACTGCATAAGTAGTCAATGTCATTCTACATTTTTCCCCCTTTATTACAAAAAAAAAAGCACAATTATTGATTTTAGGATTTAACATATTTAAACCATAGAAAAAGACACAACACGTCACATTCATACCATACTACAAATACTACAAATGCAAATGAATTATTGTATTACGGTATTTGTTTCTTTTCTATTTTTTAAGAGTTTTATTTATTTATCTTATCTTCAACTATTATATAATTGTCACAAATAAGTAAAAGAACAGTAAAATTTGTTTCCTTAAAATTTCTATGGAAAACGGAAATATGATTTGGTGGTGTATACATACGAACGTGTAAAAAAAATGGAGTGATTTGCTAAACTATTACACCATAATTATGAACTTAAGCAAAGTGAACAAACATTAATGTCAAATAGCACCTGAAATTCTCTATAATTTCTTAAGTTCTTATCCACAAATTTTATTATTATTGAACCCATTCAATATCCATAATTAATTGAAAAACACATAACCACATGTGTTAAAACAATTTTTTCATCATTAAATAAGAAAGTTAAGCAATTCAGTAATGAACTGAGACCTTCAAAGTGTAATTAGATCTCTACCATAATAACTTTGCTCTAACTAAATTAGTTCACTTTAAATGATATAATTAATAGCTCATGATAAAAAAAGATAGAATACTTAATTATTAAGTTAGTGTAGTGTATATTACATTTTGTAAAACGCAATTGCAACTTTAAAACTTCATACCGAATTTAGTGCATGTTTAAGTTCAATTTGGAGAATATACTTAAAGTAAACGTTGATATTAATCAATGTAAGTTTAGATTAATAATCATATATTTAATTTCACATAAAAATTATACTAAATTTATGATAAAACTACATATAAAAAAGA